TTCCCTCTCTAATACTCTCGTAGCTTTGTTACTATTGGCATCCCACCTTGTCCGTTGCTCATTGTCCATACTATTCTCAAGCTCATCACTGTAAGGCCGGAAATCCGACAAACCACAGCAGAGTTTCTCCAACGGATTATCTTTCCCTCCAGCGGAAAACAATCCTCGAACACGAGGAAAGCTTTGTTCTCTCGTTCTCCAACTCAATTGCAAGGACCAGTTTCCTAGGTAATAGGTTTCAAATCGCTTTAGGTTGATTCACGAAGGTCAGTCTATTTTATGCATCCGGTAAACAGCGGCTACTCCCCCTTCCACTAAATCTGTAATTCGGAAGGTGCAACCAATGTCCTTGTTCACGGTTGCTTCTCTGTAACCCCTATATCCAATCACAACGCCTTTCCCAATGATTTACGAGAAAACTGACCTAACCAGTAGTGCCAACAGTCAAGTGGTGGTGGTTTTCTGTGAGTGAAACGCTCAGAGGACTATAAGTATTACCCAATATTTATAGCTAGATCTTTTTATTGCTTGTGTAACATTTTCATCGACATCTCACTGATAGGGATAACCGAAAACAAAACACTGTGTCCACGCTGAAATCTGAACGATGCGAATAACAACTGACAAACTATTGAAAATCGTTTCTTGTTCTGTCCATTCTGTTCTTACAACCATTAACCATGCACTTTCGTGCGCCGGTTTTGGTCTCTGTCTTTTGGTTGCCCATTTGGATCAAACAGCAGAATGAAGGTTAGAATGTTGACAGCAGGTACAAGCGGAAGATAGCGCATCTACATAGACCGAAGTTACAAGAATAATGAGTAGATGCATGAATGCCACTGTTTGCGACACCCAACCATATCGCTGTGTCTCCAACCATCGGTGACCGTGATCTCGGGGTCACCAGCCAGTGAGCCTAACGGGACCTACATGAGCCACTCTCCTGGTCAGGGTTTTCATACCCTCATGCCAGGTCTTAGTTCGACCGCCCTTGATCGTTTCTTGTAGCTCGGGTGAACTGAATTCCATTTGACCTGTTCGCCGAGCTTGGCAATTTGTTTGTAAACGTTTCATCACCAGCCAAGGTGACACCGTCAGTGCTTGTGAAGTGGCATGAGCACTAAAGATGTCACCTCGGATGGTGATGAAACGTTTGCAAACCAACTGCCAAGCTCGGCGAACAGGCGAAATGGAACAGATATCAGCTTCACGATGTGCGTCTCAATGGAATCCCTGCTCACTGTAAAAGAAGCTTTATCAAGAAGAAAACGATATAGTTCTAGTTAATCTTAGTGATAATCCAAATGACTTTCATGTGGGGATACGGGTTCAAATCCTGGGTATGTTCTACTGATGAGCCCCAATAAAAACGAGCGTAGACATCAGTACTTCTCTATAGTACATGGTTGACTGAGTGAAGACTGTCCGTGTAAACATGACTCGAATAATGTACAAGAAAGATTAATGATTTAATAGTTGAAGCCGGATTGTTTGACGGGATGAGCTAAAAGAGTGCATATATGCATGTGTCTTTGAACTCGCTCGGCTTTTTCTCACTGCTGTCTGTGCTACGTCGGGGATATAGATGCACGAGTGCGGGAAAGGATCCGAGAAAGACTGTATGCTAGTGCACCAGAGTTCGATTCAAGCTACACAGACATCTACGCAAATGATCTGTGATTTCTCACTACTGGTTGTGTCTGAAGTAGTAAAATTGAGATTTCGGCTAGGGTCGTTTGAGAATCTGATTGTATCGCATTGTATTGCATTCTATTGTATTATAGAGGGACCTATACATGCGAATAAACCAGTTTGGGATGGGAAATAAAGATCATAAATTTTCATCTGTCAGGAACTTCCAACAGTGAAATCCTTTTGAAAATATGTATCATGACACACATTCTCTGCGAATTCTACAGAGCTTCAATTGGTTCACTCCTATGGAAGAGGAGGAGGAAGGGGAACTTCTGAACTTACTTTCATGAAGAATAACACTGAGGCAAAAGTCACAAGTGAGCTGGTTTTACGATGTGTTTGGATTTCATTCCATTCATTTGCCACATATATGGTTCGCCATACCGAAACACCACTATCCACATACTGGGCGTCCGGTTCGAGAAATTTGGCTGGTTGGAAAATCTCGTTCTGTTCTCCCTCTACATGTTGCCGAAAAACGTACGATTGGAATAGGGAGATAGATGGGTGTAAGGGAAAGTTTGGTCAGTGCCAATTTAATTCACAATAGATGGAGAGGTAAACGTGGACGTTTGTTTTGTCCAATTTTTTATGGTGCTTAATCATTTCATCGTCATTACTGCACATCCCGGTTTCCAAAGCAAGTGAAGATAATTTACTTACACTTTACTATATATTAAATTTCAAATAAGTATAAGTATATACAATAATACAATCCGTATTGCACTGTTTACGCTTCTTGTGATGATTATTTAGAAATAAAGATCTTGCTGATTGGCGATACCTTTGCGTGAGGGGTAACGGTGCATATTTGAGTACAAAAAAGAATCACGCGAATATTCAAACAAACCTTCATGATCGGCGTTCAATCAGAGTGCAAGACAAAAAAGTGTGACAGAACAGTACAGATAAAAAACAAACAAACAAAGAATCAAAATATTGAATTGAACTGGAAATCCTTCATACATTATCTTCACGTATACCCCTCGATTCATCTTGTCAACCTTATACTTGAGAAGCACTGGACTCGGGTTTCGGTCACATCAGAGCTCTTCATTAGTACATATCTGCCGAATTGTTCGGGCTTTGAACTCTAAACCCATTACATGGATTTTACGTCTTTGCTAATGCGTTCAGATTAGGGCTGACTATACCTTTTGCAAGTTAATTTGTCCCAATATCAGATCAAGATATCCTCGGATTATTCAAAGTTGTCGCATTGACCTCACCGGTGCTGAAATGATTCCTGGACATCTTGAAATAATCCGAGGACATCTTGAAATGATACTGGGGCAACTTGAAATAATCACCAGACATCTTGAAATAATGACCAGTCAAATTGAAATGATTCCCGGGCATATGATATGATACTGGGACCACTTGACTTGCAAAAGGTTTAGAACTACCACTTGAACTATGTTCAGGTACCATCCTCAGAGCTAGTTAGACATTCCATTTGACCGGGGTGTATGTTTGTCTGGACGAACTGACGATGGTGCCTGAAGACGCAGCGTGAATGTTGGTGTGGTGATCCTGACCTAACGCCTACAACGGAGCGACACGTCACAGTTTTCAGAAAACTGTAATAAATCAAACTTCACAGGTGACGTCATCAATGCGCGCATGTGTCACAGCTTCTGAACTACAGACCATTGGTTGATTGTACCAACCAATCAAAAACCGTGAGGCTCAGGCAGAAGTTAAATAACACCAGAAACACTAGCACGCCATTGGCAGAGGCTTAGATTACCAATGAATTTGTTTTGTACATATTAGTTAATCCCCTTGATCTCTTTCAATAAGCGAACTACTACTCCTGTGGCATTTTCCTCGCTTCTCGGTTACGTGGGATACTGCGTTCAAGTACCTGTGTAATTGAGTGCTTACGTTGCGTCTGTGATTTCTAATTCGTGATTCGTACTTCGTGATCAGTGCATACTACAACTACTACGGTTGGTCTACCCAACTTAACATTGTGCATCGCGTAGCACTACGCACCAGTAACTATGAGTTGAATGCGAATCACAAAGATTTAATTATAAATTTGTTATCTAAAAAATTACTCAACCCTGAAGAAACATAAGAATAAGCCTGTAGTAATTTATGATGAACAAAGTTCACACGAATGATGATATTCGGTAGTTTTATGATAATATGTTAATAAATGCCACGCATTGTTTCTTGGTGGTAGCGAGTTTCACACACTAGGCCCCCACCTCGGAACATCCTTTGCATCGATGCCTTCATGAGAATTTATGATGATCACTTCGAGGATAGATAGAAATTTGACACTTGGACTTCTGTTCATTTTGTGTAATGAAAGCAATGATTTAGGGGACCTTGTTTGAATCATTGTAATACGGCTTTAGGCATATTCTGTAGCATTTCCACTCAGATACCGTTAGCTTTTGTTGCATCTAAAAAGGCATCTAGAACGGATCCAAATGTGATCGACCCTCACGGTAAGTTTCTCTATTACACAGGGTCAAACTATCTGCTGTATCCTGGGTTCTCGCTGTCTTTCCAGCTCCGAAGAAACCTTTGAAGAAGTCAAATTTCAACCCGAAATTGAATTCTATTCAATAAAAATACAAACGAAATAACCAGTTTGAACGTAGAACTACCCACAACCGGTATCTACATAAAATCAACCAATCAACGAGATAGCTTCGCATGAAAAAGAATTCTGAGTGATGGTCAATCCATCTCTACTCAGAAAGTATTTGGTTTGATTGCTTTAGCTGTGGATTTCACTACTTGGGAATCTGTCGATTGTGCCCACATGTTCAATTTGCGATAGAACTATTTGTTACGACCGACAAAGTGCACTTCAGACAACGATTTTTGACCTTTTTGACACTCATCAACAATGTGAGCCAACCACTTAACCGTCGACCTAGGTGGACGGGGTTTCGAGTCCCAAACCGAAGGTTCGAATACCGCAGAGACACAGCGAGTAAGGGAGCACAAATAGAACGAAGCAGCTGCCCTCTGTGCTCTTTGTCGATCATCACAGAGGTGTTTTGTCGCAAACACGTTTCTCATTCATACAAATCGCAAAATCGCAAATCGCATTCACTATACAAACTATAAAAAATGAACCGTAATCCGACAAAAATCTCGGTATCCCATACCAATGTCGTCCGTGGTGAACGGATCACCTGTCTGATCGGGTATGCACGACTGAATCGGTTTGGTGGCACGTGTTTTCGGATGTTCCCAGTCAATGAAAAACACATCCACATTGCACTGTACCGCCAACAAGTGTATTAAATCGATGAATTTCAGAGCAAAACCAGCAGCCACATAGGACAATACAAAATTGTCCGAGTTGGGCAGTTGAACCATGTAGACCTTTTGCATCTGATTTTGTGAATGAGTGGATTCGATGAGACAGTTCAGGATGGGAACAGGGGTAGAAAGTTGATAAGAGTATAAAATGGTAGCACGAAACTGTGAACAAAGGAAACTGATCTACAGTTCACGGAAGGAAAATTAAGTACAATGTGGAATTGGAATCAACTTTTGCAACTAAAGTGAAAAATACACAGTCAGGGATGTCAGCAATTGAGAATGAATTGTTAACCTGAAGTCATAACATGATAGGAGAGTTTAAAAGTGTTGTTAAATGAAAATCGAATGACCAATGGTGATCTACGGGCGGTAGTGGCTCGATGGTAACGTCATCAAATTATTATCCCTGAGGACGTGTGTTCGAATCCCACCGCCACCGCCTAACTTCCCCATTCTCTGTGTGATGTATGGCATCCCTTTGTATGGCCGATTAACCCTTCCTGAAATTGGTATCATTCAATTAAAGGAAGTAAAAATTAAAATTAAAAAAAATGACAATGAAGTAATTAAACCGCATATTTGAGAAAAAAATGGTGCAGCCTTACGGGTTGGGGCCCAAGGGATGACGATTGCCGTTGATTAAAAACACTGAGATATATCTACTAGAATGGGAGTCACCGGCTCGAAAGCTGTACGGTCCGCCTGTATAAATCCCATGCCCCATAAAAACTATAAACTAGCACACAAAAATATAAAAAAGTGTACAATGAACCAAACCAAAAGTTGTCGTTGTTCAACTCAGCTATCTGGCCCTTTCCCCTTTACGCTGCTGTGTATCTCAACCCTCCATGTTCTTTTANNNGTGCTCACAAGCTGGTAATAAATATATATAAATATAATAAGAACAATCTTTTCACTTATTTTTGATATATCAAAAATGAGTAGTATGTGGAAAAAGGGGAACAGCCAAGCACAATGAGCCATTGAAAGGCGAAAAATTAAGGTGACACTGGAGGGTTTAGAATGTTCAAACGTAGTTTGGGCGCCCTGTCTCACTCTCTGATCGCCGTTTCCGTCAAAATAAATTAAATGTGCTATACAATGATAGAGAGTAGATTAAATACATAGATAATCAATAAAAACAGGCCAGTGATTGAGTGTAACATGGTACTGATTGGAATAACTGATATTGATGGAACGAATGTTCTTGTATGGTGTTGAATGTTTGCAGTTCGGCAGACGAATGGGGCTATAGAAAGGGTCTTTGGGATGGAAATGTTATTTGCAAACGTTTCTTAGCCATGTTACGCGTCATCGTCAGTGTAACTTCAGAGAAGCAGCAGTGTCTAGTTTGCGATTGATTGTGTCTCTTCTATTCCACTGACCAAAGCCGTCTGCTCATAGTTATTTGATAAGCCAGCAATGTTGTACTGGTAACTCCTTCTTTGCTTATTGGTCAACTGCCTGACATGGACCAATTCTGAAGTTTGGTAAAAACGTTTTTAGTCAATTTTAAACGATATGAAAACCGGTTCTGAACCGACGTTTAGAAAGAGTGGTTCTAGTTTTTGGAAACAAAAATGATCGTCAAATTATGCAAAACTCAACCCAAACTGCACGAGGAACTGTATCGTACACGAAGCAACTGAAAAGCCGAAAAAGTTCTCTTTCTTTTTTTCATTTTACTTCCTCTTATTGAATATACAAAGAAAGAATTTTCAGGATGGGGGGGGGGGGGAGCGGCCATTCAAAAGGCCGTGGAACTGTTTCGATCTCGTTGGATTCCATCAATAGTACAAACCCATCAAACAAACTAAAGATTAAATTTATGAACCCTTCAGATGAGGCTTAAGTATAAAACCCACTCGATAATCGGGAAACTGATCAAATTGTCACTTTGTCTGTTTCACGATAAAACATAGTCCATACAGGCGTGTTTGTTTCGGAAGCCTCATCTGGCCCGTTTCTAAACAAGGTAACATGTTTATATCCAAACTAGTGGCATACTATACCTGAATATTGATTGACTTCGAGAGGTAAATGTTAAAACCGAATTCCAATCGTGACGCTATGCACAGTATGTTTTGGGGCCCGTAACCTAACACAGGAAATCAGAACGCACAAGAGAGCCTGCTGATCGGAACCGCGTTGATGATTTAATTAAGAATACATCAATCGATTAAACTAGGTCAAGCTGGCTCACGGACAAAACGGATTGGAAGGATATTAGTCACTGTCTGTTATGAATACCTGTATCACTTGAAACGACGATCAACGGGAACTGATGGACGAATGCGAACGTAGCTGTAAAGGTCACCAGATGATTACTCCGGAGGACGTATGTTTCAATCCTACCACCGCCTGTGTTTTCCACTCTTGTGGGTTGTATGGTAGTCCCCTGATTAACTGCTTCACCCTTCCTGAAAATTCTATCATTATTTATTCAAAAAAGGAATTAAAATAAAAAGAAGAAAATAATAATAATAATACGTTTTTGCAAATCTTATTTGCAGTTTGGAGAGTGGATAAATATATCATAGACCAGCTACTGGTATAAAGCCCTCAGAGGGATAGCACAACCTTGTTTCTCGGCATAATATATCTGGCCAATCCCAAACCCAGGAAAGAGGTTTCTTATCACCTTGGTCACAAGGCGAATCCTTGTATTTTTCTGTCCTACACCACATCGTGAGGTTATTGCTCCAGATGTACAACATGGCAAAGATTCCCTTACGATGTGGACAGGACAACACTGGTGGTAAATTGTTTTGGTTAGAAGAAATTATCAAAAACAAGCTTGTTTGTTATTCATGTCGTCCCGTAGGCCATATGTATCTCTAGACAGTGCCGAGAAAAAAAAACTATGAATTAAAGAAACAAAATTACACATACCTTGTAGAAAATAAGAAAATAAATGCACACACAATAGATCACAATCAGAAATCCATTGGCCATATTTCCGGCAGCCAGGAGGAGTAATTTCAGTATGAGCATCCCATCCAGTCGAAGCACCCCAGCGCGACGAGACCAAAGCCATGTGCGAACCATGGCCACACAGGCGGCCAGGGCAGAGATCACACCCATAGCAATACGAATATTTTGGTCCAATGTGGCTTGTTGATCGGTCATTTGTTGATAGGTGACGCGGAAAGTGATCTGCAGTAGGACAACATGAGGCGACTCAGTTGGATCGATAAATATTGATATTGATATTGATATTCACAGTTAATATGCCATTTATCCGTGGGAAGTCATTGATGCACTATACAGACCAAATCGAGTCGACTTCCAGCCCCTTTAATGCTATGGGTTTATCTTTCTAGCTATCTAACATGGCTTTTAACAGCTTGCGTGACAAGTTTAAGCTTGGAAATATGTGCAGCCAGAGAGGAGAACACATCATGAATATTTTACCTCAGGTTTGATCATAATTTAACTGTTCACGGTGACACGCACTGATAGTCTGAGACATTTGTCCAGTCTATCAAAATTTCTAATACAGGTCAACCAATAGGTTATCTTTCAAGAAACATTTGACTGTATCGCTCATATCCTAGTTGACTGTATTCTTGGAATGATAACAGAGCAAACCGGCTTACAGTGGGCATGTCATCGGTTACGCTTCCGTGGAATGTGTTATTGGATGAGGGAGTTGGGAGAATGTTTTTAGGAATGAGCATACAGCCTAGTTTGAATGGATAAAAACACTAATCTGGGGATCTAACCTTGGAGCAGTCAAAATCAGGCTGCTAGACCCCGCACTGTGCAACCAGAAGCGTTTCGTCTATACACGATCTTCACGATGGCTAGTTTTAAAATAACAAACGCATTCCAGCATGGTAACTGGAAGAACGTCGTAAGCAAGAGGAGGCTCACTACAAATGCTGATACATGTAGGATCGTTGCGTGCATAGTGTAGTAATATCCACATTGCACTGGATCAAATAATATTGAATGCTTTACCGAAGTAATTGTAAATTGTTAGTTAGTGAATTATCGGATTGTATTTTCGCGCCTAACTTCTCCTTAGTGATCGAAGGAAATCTATTACTCGATGCAGCGGCCATGAACAAAACGCCTGCAAACATGTATCATCAGTTTGCGTCTACATCTATCGAGTGGTAAATCAATTGCTAGGGAAACAACAGCAACCATGAATCAGCACACTGCCTCAAAGTGCGCCCTCTACAAACTAAGTTGACACAAGAGATGCCTCTTACACCAATCGTCCACAAAGTCTCATGAGTTTCCGGAAACCGGCTTGTTATATTAGCACAAGCCGGTCGAAGTGAGATAACTAACTCGGTTTGATATGCCCCTAAGGAGAATTCGTTATCAATTCAATCCACCTGATCACAACACCCACATTCGCTTTAAAGAATTCCATTGAGTTGCTTTTATCCGTTCGGACAGAAAACTAATGAAATTGCGGTCAACTTACCTTGACCAGTTTTCCGGTCCCGTAATCACCGGCTGCATACAAATTGGCATAATTCACGACCAACAATGGAGGATAGATAAGACCATCTTGCGAGGAACCACGTGGAGCTATTCGTAATTCAATATCCGATGCGTACCGGACAAGTGTAGTGGCTGAAAGGTAATGGGGAGAAAGAAATTACTGTTTGTGCGAAACTGTCCAAACCAACCAGAATAACTATCATTATATTTGAATACAGTGAAAACCGTATAGTCGATGACCACACATGAGACGCATTCCATATATTTGTAAGTGTAACGCTTGGAAACCTCACATGTAATATTTTATTTTATAGTGAGTGCTTTCATCGTACGGAACCTACTGGGTTCATGGTGTATTTTAATTCCTATGCCTTGTAGGTTTCTCTTTAACCCGGGCCCACGAAGGAACTGTTTGCCGGTATTTCCTCGCAACTTCGTACCCCGGTCGCCTTGCTACCCGTACCACCTTTCCACCATCGTCGTCCGTCACCCACTAAGCCTCTTATCATCTCCACTTGCGAGGACTTGAGGCGGGGAATATCCTGTCGCGCACCTTTATCTACTCCGCTTCGCAGGGAGTATCCTGAGTGCATTGGCATTAGAGCGGCGTGCGGATAACTGCGTGTTTTTCAAATGCGATGAAAATGTTTGTGATAACCCACAGAGAGCGCTGGACAGCTGTCTCGTCCTGTTTGGGACTCGTCAGCAGAGCGTACTTTTTGTGTCCCTGTCAGAACTCGAAACACAAACATTCTGGTCTTGACTTCAAACCCTTACCTCTGAGCTACACAGTCGATGGTCTAGTCGTGACAGGGACACAAAAGTACGCACTGCTGACGAGTCCCAAACAGGACGAAACAGATTTCCAGTGCTCTTTTACGGTCATCACAAACATTTCCTCGTGGGGAATTAGCCATCTGCCAAGGAGTGAAACCCACACCGAAGACCATCAAGAGCGTCTGGTGTCTCTGACCAATCGAACGAACTAATCCAAGCTTGATACTCTACAAAACTGTGAGGTTTTTTCAGCAAAGTATGACTTGTTGCTGAGTACTCATGCAAGCACACATCAACTCCAAAACAATTCACTTGAGAAGACCCTTTCGGTTTGGTTGCTTAAACTGAATCAGGCTGACTAAACTGATTATATTCGTTTGTTTTTGCGTACCACTTCGATCCCCGATTTTATTCTACATAAAAGACTTAAACTTGAAAAAATGTTTCGCCGTCAGTAGTAATCTATTTCCATTGCATTACTCTTTGTGAAGCTCTATATTGTGTTGTGTTGACATGTCACAAACAGAATTCGAATGGTTCTAGGAATCGACTCTTCAAGTCCCGGTCAGAACCTCGATGGATTTGGTGAATATGCATTGCTGCAGTTTTCCAACTCCCGCGGTTTGTTATTTGCATGAAAAACCGTTGCAAAGGACTTTGATTACAATTCAGTCTGATATGCGGCGGAAATAGTGGAAAATAATACATCGAAGTAGTCGGTTACCCGCAGTATCGAAATCAAGCAAACGAGGAGGTACAAGTGCAAGTCAGTGTTCAAATGGGATGAGTCATTCTGTTCTAGTCCTTCTGTACTCGTCAGAACTCTAACCAGGTACGGATCAGAAATTTTATCAAGTATACAGTTATCACAATCTTCGTTATAAATGAATAAATAAAGGAATGAGAAATAGATCATGGTGTAATAAACGTATGACCCTTAGAAGCGTACTGTTCACCAGTGCTAACCAAGGTGGTAGGTGGCCCGGTGAAAACGTCACTAGATCATTGCCTCGGAGGACGTGTGTTCGAATCTCCCTACCCCATTGTGTCGTCTGACAACCCGTCGATTGACCGTTTTCTCTCCCTGAAAATTGTATCCTAATATATATATGTCTTAAATAAAAAAATTAACAGACAGAAAGTGTAAATATGTTGATTAACAGGTGTTCATTTACCAAACACCCATTTAAAGCGATGAAGCTGGAATAATGATTCGTAGACTATGTGAAACGTTCAAATCCCGCTTCAGAAGTTCCGGAAAAATTGCGGGCGAAGAATACAGTATTACCAGCATTGAAATAAAAAATTAGAAATGCTTGACTGCAGAGTCAGAAACCGCTAAAGTTTACTATATTTTTAAAATGACTGATGTCAAAGATTTCTTGAAAGGGTACTGAATGTCAGACGTCTATATGAAATCAGCAGTTAAGAGTGGCGCACAGATATTGAACAGAATTAACTCTGGATTGGAAATTAGAATTCACCGATATAAACCAATTGGAAGTGGCAAGCGAGAAAGACAGCTAGTATGGATTCCAACTACTTAGAGCAGTTTAGTGTAAACCATATTCGGTTGAGGAAAGTTGCATTCCGGATGATTTGGCGTTATGTTTTCAAATGTTAGAGAGGGAGCAGCAAAGGTGTGAAAAAGTAGAATATTTTTGGTGTATTTAAAGACCCATGACAGAGAAGATAGTGGAAGATCGTTCACGAAAGTGGAAAATAGAAAAATGAGTCAACACAGCGCCCAGAATCACGACAGAACCGTTGAAAAAAGGTTTAGAAAATTTGTGCCCTGCATGCAGTTGCCGCATTCTATTTTTAAAAGCTAGACACAAAAAGCTTTTCACCTGGAAGAGGTCGTGATTTGTTATCAGGGGTGTAATTTTTGGGTTTACGGGGAAAACGGCAAGAGTCAGGTGGTAAACTGGAAAGCAGTTTAAGACAAGCATTTTAGTTGTGAGCAACAAGTTGATTCTGCATAAGGATTCAATTTTCACAAATATTTATCATCTGTGTAATCCGGTCT